GGGGGGAAGAGGTAAGTAGGGAAGGGCCGCAACTAGTCGCGGAGTAAGGCTCCTGGAGGCCCCCCGTCTTCTTTGACGGCATCGCGGCTCTCGCAGGGGTACGGGGGTCTGCTCTCTGTGCTCTTCCCCGTCGTTTTAACGGCTTGATGGAGAGCCATACAGATGGTCAATATAGCCCCGGACTTTCCTATAGAGGGTAGCAGTAGGGAACCTAGAGGCATAGAGCAGGGTTTGCTGTCTCCAGTCTTCCTTACCAGGTGTTTTCCTCCCCTACCCCCTCGACTCTTTGAACCTAGAAACCCTTTCACGTCATGTAGCTTAGCTCTTGAATGATACTTGGTGACTCCAATTAACCATTGATGGGTAAGGACTCCAGATTTCGGGTGAATCAAAGGATAAACCTTTTGTTGACCATCTTTATGGTGAGTTCCAATCAATAGGAATTGTCGGCGCACAACCTCAGCAACACTCTTACCTTGAGAACTAACACGGGTTTTTAAGGGTCAAAGTTATGCTCTACTCTAGTCAAAGCCTCTATACCTACTATGATGTCTAAGCGAGTCGGGCTCTAGTTATCTCTTTTTTTATGGGTTAACATTATCCTGGTTTATATTGTTTCACTCCTTCTGCTACTTTATTATTCTAACCAAACTCCCCCCCCCCTGACCCTTTACCCCCCTTGAGCTTAGTTAGCTTTTGGGTTGTCGTCTAAAAGGTAAGACATCCGAATTTGAATCGGAAAAAAGAAGTTCGAATCTTCTCAGCCCAGTTTAGGTTTAGTAGTCTAATTGGTAAGACATCCGACTTTGATTCGGCAGTTAGAAGTTCAAGCCTTATCTATTTTATTATTGATTTTGTATTCCCCTCCCCCACCCCACTCAATCAATAAATACCTATTGGTTGTCGGGTTAGCTTAATGGTAAAGCTTTCGTCTTGTAAACGAGGTATGGTGGTTCGAGTCCACTACCCGGCTCATTATGGAACCCAAATAATCCTATGAGATCTACTCCCCGTACCCCCCCCTCCTCCTTTGTTATTATAAACTTATGCCATTGTGGCTCAGCGGTTAGAGCGTATCACTGTTAATGATTTTGTCCTGGGTTCGACTCCCAGCAATGGCTATCTTTGGTCGCCCCGGCCTGGAGCACCAAGGGCCCTCACTCCTTGGTCCTCCCCATGGATAGATAACGCACCAGGGATCTCCACTGGTCTTCCAAGACATGGTATCTGTTCATCCTCCCTTCCCTTGGTGCCTAAGACCCGTCGAAGACGGTAGTCTGCCCTTGTACCCTACCCGAGGCTCCTTTAGCAAACAATGGCCATTTTATTCGAATCCTTCCTTTGCCAACTTTTTTACTTCGTCAAGCTGGAAGAGACATTCAGGAACTTATCCAATTGGATCTCACTTCTGAGGTTGCTACTATGCTTTTAAATAAAGAGCACCTCACTAAGGAGGGTTTACCAAAATAGTGTCGCTTCTTTACAGTTCTTCGGTTCTTGTACGGAAGGAGCCCATAAGAACCACCCACGCAAAACCCGGAGAACGCATATGGGTGTCCTACCGTACGACGACAAATAGTCTGAAGGAATGAGCGAGTAGGGAATCGGGTAAACGTATACAACGGTGAGAAGGCGTGGCGATAGTATTCGGTAGTATCGGCGAAAGGGTGCGAATCCAGGCAAATAAAGTGTGACTCGGCAGTATAATGCAAACCCTTCCGACTCTTACCGCACTGTCGGCGCTGCAGTGTGCTAACAGACCACGCATGGGGATTGCTAAAAAGGCATAAGGGCGTACATGGCAGATAGGGCGACCAAATATTCCTATTCAGGTGTAGGCCTCGCCCCGGCCGTAGGCACCAAGGGCGCCCCGTCCTTGGGCCGGAGGGGTCAAAGAGCCTCAAAATACAACACCCCCTCTGGTTTGGGGACAATAGCTAATGAACCAATAAGCTCAATGCCTCAAATAGTACGTTGATAGTTAGTTATCTACCTCAAGGTTCTTATCATCTCTCACTTTGCCCTTCTCATCTGTCTTAGGTACAAGTTTATCTGCTCTCCGTCTTATACTGAAGTAAGGGATATCCTTGGCTTGTGCTACTAACCTTGCGATGCTTCGGCTTCAGTACTCATAGTGAAGGTTTTGAAGGTGCTTATTAACAGCTGGGGAGAGCACAAGGCAAACATTCAGAAACTACCATACTCTTTAAGCTTACAGTTTGGTTCCAAAAAGGATGAGTTATGGCCATACCTTGATATCAAGCTTAACCCGAGTGTCATCTTCATCCATAACCTTACCGTAGCTTCAATAGCAACAGACATGGCATACACTCTTGGTTCATTGGCTAATTCTT